TCTCTTCTTCTTCTTCTTCTTCTTAGTTCGGATGCGTGAGAGTGAAATATTTTTCAGAACACGTGCCAAGGGCAAACTTACCAATTTTCTTTCTTGCAGGTAATGGACAACTTCTTAATTCAAGTGACGGGGAGGAAACGAGTTGTCCTGTACAGTCCCCGGGATGCCCCTTATCTGTATTTGTCAGGTCTGTGGCATTTTTGTTTACAGCCGAATGCTGAGTACTGTGCAAAGGCAGGCTTTGAAAAAAACTGAGCACCACTTGGAGGAGGCTTACTGAAAAGAGAGCGCTGTCAGGAACTGAGCTCCCAGTACAGAGAGACTGAAACGTGTCCAGAGCTGGAATCTCTTCTGTACATAGCTGCTAGTAAAGGTAAAGGTTCCCTTGCTCGAAAGCCAGTCGAATCCGACTCTAGGGGGCGGTGCTCATCTCCCTTTCAAAGCCGAAGAGCCAGCGCTGTCCGAAGACGTTTCCGTGGTCATGTGGCCGGCATGACTAAACACCAAGGCACACGAAATGCTGTTCCCTTCCCACCGAAGCGGTCCCTATTTATCTACTTGCAATTTCTTGCTTTCAAACTGCTAGGTTGGCAGGAGCTGGAACTAGAGATGGGAGCTCACTCCGTCATGCGGCACACTCGGGTCTCGAACTGCTGAACTACCGACCTTCCACAGCCTGCAGTTCAGCGTCTTAACCACTTGAGCCACCGCAGCTCCATAGCTGCTAGTGCGCCAGAATTGCTGGGATGTATCGAACACTGTCAAATTCACACTGCAATTACTTTGTTCGGGGTACACGTGCACACGAAAGCTTATACCCAGAACAAAACATTGCTGGTCTTCAAGGTGCCACTGGACTTAAACTTTGTTCTGCTGCTCCCGGATTTGTCAGGGGCAGTACAGATTGTAATGCCAAGCATCCTATGATCCCCCTGTGAGCTCTCATGCTTACTTTAGGTGGTCTCGACGGATTGGGCTACTCATTGGTGAGATGCAAAACGCTAGAAGTCAGATCTCTGGACCAAATGTGTTTTTGGGGAGGGAGAGCCCGTTTGGTGTAGTGGTTAGGAGCGCGGACTCTAACCTGGGAGAACCGGGCTTGATTCCCCACTCCTTCACATGGCAGCTGCTGGTGTGACCTTGGGTCAGTCATAAGTTCTTTCAGAGCTGTTCTCCCAAGGGCAGTTCTCGAAAGAGCTCTCTCGGCCCCACCTACTTCACAGGGTGTCTGTTGTGGTGGGCGGAATGGAAAGGGATTGTAAGACACCCTGAGACTTCTTCAGGTAGTGATGGGTGGGCTGTAAATCCAATCTCATCTTCTTCATCTCCATCATGCTTATATCTGCCTCCAAGCCCATTTCAGAGTGCTTATAAAGCCCTTCATGTGCTGGGACTTTCATACCTCTTCCAACACACCTCTCATAATCCCATGCACAAATTACACTCCTCCGACTCCTGGTGGTACTATCACCTAGAATTGTCCGTTTGGTAACAGTTTGGTTACAGACTTCCTTGGTGGTGGGCCCATTCTTCTGGAGCGGTTTAGCAGAGTTGGGTGCAGAAGGTACCTCCCCTTGCCCCGCTCAAGAAAGTGCCTGAGATTATTTCATTCCAGAAGGTACTGGGCGGACATAAATGGTTTCGTCTGCATTTTAACTTGTTGCTGGGCACTTAAGGTTTTTTGTGTCCTTGCAGCTTTGCTGTTTTGTTAGCTGCTTTGGGTTTGAGGAGGTAAAACGGGGTATAAATATGCAGCCCCCTCCCCACCCACTCCTGTTAGTCATATCCAGTTTGTCTGGACATCACTCTGCATGGCCGTTTGCATTCAGCGAGACGGTGCAGCAGAGTTACCATTCAGGGGGAAAAAAGCCAAACAAGCTTAGATAGAATTTGTTTCCTGACGAAATCCGAGCTTCTCTATTTTCCTATCAAATCCTGGTGGTGGAAAAGTGCCATCGAGTCACAGCTGAATTACCCTGCAGGTTTTCCAAGGCCAGAGACGTTCGGAGGCGGTTTGCCATGGCCTGCCTCTGCCAGTGTTCCCTCTAAGCTGGGTTGTTGTGAGCTAGCTCATGGTTTGTTAGCCTCCGGCTCACACATTTTACTCTTATCTCAGGAAGGAGGGCTCCAGAGCAAACTCTTTTATGCAGTAGCCCAATCGCTCGCTCACAACTGTAATGCCAGCAGCCCACAAAGCAGAATTTTTGCTCACAAGACTCCACACCTTAGAGGGAACATTGAGTATTCCTTAGGGGTCTCCCATCCAAATACTAGCCAGGGCCAACCCCGCATAGCTTCTGCGATCTGACGAGATTGGGCTAGCCTGGGGTATCCAGGTCAGGGGATATCAAATCTTAAGAGTGCTGTAATCCTCAGGATTAATTAAAACACTTGTGGAATTGAAGCTGCATACTTAAAACAGTGCGGTGTAGCGGTCAGGGTGTCAGACTGAGATCTGGGAGTCCCAGGTTCGAATCCCCTTTCTGCTAGGAAAGCTCATTAGGTTACCTTCGGTCGGCCACACCCTCTCGTCCTAACCGGCCTCGCAGGGTTGTTGTGAAGATAAAATGGAAGAGAGGAAAACTGTAAGCCATCCTGGGTCCCAATTGTGGAGAAAGGTGGGATGTACATGAAATAAATAAGGGACCGCCTTTCCCCATATGTTCCCCCACGGGCACTACGGTCGGGTGCGAAACATCTCCTGGCAATACCAGGCCCGAAGGAGGCCAGGCTGGCCATTACCAGGGCCAGGGCTTTTTCGGTGGCGGCTCCTACCTGGTGGAACGAGCTCCCGGAGGAGATCAGGGCCCTGCGGGACCTAATGCAGTTCCGCAGGGCCTGCAAGACGGAGCTCTTCTGCCAGGCGTTTGAGTAGGAGCCGCCACTACGGTACCATCATTACCTGACCCTGGAACAAAGAACGCCGGCATTGTCCGGAACAGAAAACACTGAGCTAGTAGAGCAGCAGTAAGTTCGTCATCTTCGTGGAAGATAAATTGGAATATCTGGAGCACTTTATGTACGTAATTTTGTATAATGGTTTAAATGGTTTTAAAAATGTTTTTACGTGTGGGCGTATGCCTGTCTGTGACCCGCCCTGAGCCCGCTTTTGCGGGGAGAGCGGGCTGTAAATCGAAACAATAAATAAATAAATAAACATGAAGATACAGGTCTACCATTTCTGATGAATTCTTCACTTGTCACACCATGGCTGAAAGTAATCAGTAATGCCTGAGAGTGAAAGTGTCTACTATGGTCACAGGTACCATTGAGTTGGTAGACTGCAGCTCAGAGCAGCTGTCAGGATTAAGCATGGATCAACAGCCCCCTGGGCCTAGTACCGCCTGTGTGCAGCCATGACATCCGTGCCACTTAACAGAAGCCATAATAATTGCCATTGTTTGTCTTTCTCAGGCACCAAGTCAGAGGTGCTGGATGTGGATGAGCCAGACTTGAAGAGATACCCTCTCTTTGCCAAGGCCAGGCGTTATGAGTGTTTTCTCAAAGCGGGAGAAGTTCTGTTCATACCAGGTAAGATGACGCGCACAGCCGTAGGTCTGCATCCTCCTGTTCCAATCCGCAAAGTTTCAAGTCCTCTGCCTCTTTGAGCAGAGAAAGGCTTTGAAGAAGAGAAGAAGAGAACAGATTGGATTTATACCCCGCCCTTCACTACCCAAGGGAGTCTCAGAGCGGCTTACAAACTCCTTCCCCTTCCCCTCCCCACAACAGACACCCTGTGAGGCAGGTGGGGCTGAGTGACAGGTGCTTGGGGGGGTCAACAGTGGGAGGGCTTCTAGTGTTCTGGCCCCACTGGTGGACCTCCTGATGGCACTGGTATTTCTGGCCACTGTGTGATACAGATACACTGTGTGGACTGGATGGGCCTTTGGCCTGATCCAACATTGGCATCTCTTATGTTCTTAAGCTGCTGTTTTTCAAGAACAGCTGTGCCCAAGGTCATCCAGCAGCTGTGAGCGGAGGAGTGAGGAATCAAACCTGGTTCTCCCAGATTAGAGTCTGTGCACTTAACCACGACACCAAACTGGTTCTTTGTTGGACATAATTGTAGGGTGCAGGCATCTGTGTTTTTCCTTTACTGTGGATTACCTTGTAAGGGCCGTGTTTGTAAGTGGAATATACAGTCCCTCTGGCTCCATCTGTCTTCGATCTAATTCAAACAGGGTCACTGAGTGGGAGAGTCCTCTCGTCTCCCTCTGTCGTTGCCTTCTGACGGTGGGCGGAGACCTTTTTGTTTCACTCGGTGGACCCCCAGTAACTGTTATCATCCCTCCTCCCTACTTTTAAAAATTGGATTATTTTCTATATTTTTAAATGCTGCTTTCATGTCCAAACGCCCCGTGCCTGGGGGACCCTGTTCGGCTGGAAAGGTGGGATAACAATGTTTTAAATAAAATAAAGAAATGTAGGACTACTGCGTAACTGTCACATGGGAGATTTGTTGTTTGGCAGCAGGGGACACTTGTTGGTTTAAAACATTCATTACCTGCCTTCCTTCCTTACAGAGCTCAGGGCGGCTGGCTTGCGATGTAAATAAAATACACAAAGTACATAAAAATACATAACATCAGGGTTTTTAAAAAATCAGTTTAGGAGGGCTTAATCAAATACAGTCATAAATGAGAACCAGCTTGGTGTGGTGGTTGAAGTGTCAGACTAGGGTCTGGGAGGCCCAGGTTCGAATCCCCACTCATGCCAGGGAAGTTTGCTGGGTGACCTGGGGACAGTCACAGATTGCCAGCCTCACTTACTTCACAGGGTTGTTCTGAGGTTAAAATGGAGGAGAGGAGGACGATGTAAGCCGCTTTGGGTAGGGGGAGGAGGTCAGGGCTATTTTTGGGCAGGAACGCACAGGAACGGAGTTCCGGCTGGCTCCCAAGTTGACCACGCCCAGCAGGAACTCATTAGCATAATAGGCCACACCCAACAGCAGAAACTCATTAGGATTGGCTACATTAGGGGTGTGTGGCCTAACATGCAAAGGAGTTCCTGCTACAAAAAAGCCCTGGGTTTTGACAACAAACAAGGTAAACAGAATAACAAGCAAAAGGTGGGTGTGGCTGGATAACCACACTTCTGGTAACATGGGGCTGCGGCCTGCTGTTGGGTGTGGCCTATTATGCTAATGAGTTCCTGCTGGGCTTTTTCTACAAAAAGAACCCTGGCTATTATGCTTATTCTTATTATTATATTACATTATATGTAATATAATACACATTTTTAATTAACAGTCTTTAGGAGGCAACTGAAAACAATTTATTTACATCCCAACTTTCCCCAGTTTGGTGTAGTGGTTAAGAAGAAGAAGAGAAGAGATTGGATTTATACTCCGCCCTTCACTACCCAAAGGAGTCTCAGAGCGGCTTACAAACTCCTTTCCCTTCCCCTCCCCACAACAGACACCCTGTGAGTT